GGCTTCCATGTAAAGGATCTAGTTTAGCAGGATTTAGCTGCAGGCAGTGCAGATGTCCAAAAGCCAAACACATTGGATGGAACAGGTGGATAGGCAGCACTGCCCCAGGATGGATGACTCACTGGCCCCAATGGTTAGGCAGATTGAGAAGTTGAGTGACCCCCAGGTGAGTGGGGAAAGGCAAGTATATCTGGAGTCCCGTCAGGGCCAATGAGTCATCCATCATCCACCTATCCACCTGTTCCATCCAATGTGTTTGACTTTTTGGGCATCTGCACTGTCTGCAGCTACACCCTGCTGAACTGGATCATTTGCATGTAAGCCATTGCTTTTAATCATTCAATAAAACTGTTTATTTTAACTCTGGACTCTGAGTGCCTCCTTTTATTAACAGTTCGGTTAAAGCGCTCCTTTCATGGTGTGTTTCGAGTTTTTAATACAAGTCATATAAGGTTTGGGAGCTGCTTCCACTGAACTTCAACACAGCAGAATTTGGGGGTAAGCTATGCCTGTTCTTTTGTGTTTTGTAATTACCTGTATATCTACTTTATACTGGTAACTTATTAACTCTCAAAAGCCTAGTATTTTTGGTTAAAAAGTTTTAAATTATTTATCTGCCTACAAGATAGCTGGGACCTGTGCATTGATCTAGAATTAGCAGAGCACTAAAGCAGTAGCATAAAGAAAACTACTCTCCATGCTGACCTAAAAGACTTCATAAACAGCTGCTAGCAGGAGGATTCTATCTCCAAGCAATCAATATAAAGCAATATAATTATAAAGCAATATAATTCAGGGGAGTGTATACAACAGGAGCATGCTATTTTTTTGGATTTTCCTCAGCTAAACTTGGGAAAAGGATACCTACCTTTTTCCCTACCTTTCCTACCTCTAGTACATTGGTTGGGATTCTGTCCACCTCACCCTATAAACCAGAATATGTACTATGAAGCATATGCTTATCTGTCTTCTGAGATTTTCCACACCTCATTTCTAATCATGAATCCTCTGCTTAACAAATTATAGTACACCATTGCATGCAATCCTTAGGTCAGACATTCTATATTCATAGAATTGCCTATTTGGTTCTGTGCTATTTTGCAAATATTATATACCAATATGAAAGCTAAACATAAAGTTGCTATGTGTGAAAGCTGGCTCTCTGAATCAAAATGATCAAATGGATTTCTTTGCAATTAATCAAATTTAGACTTTTAGCTTCAGGGCTAAAACTGTTGCAATATCATTTAAGTGTTTTGTTTGGTGACCATTTTAACAATAAAAACTAGACACAATGATTGTTACATCATCTCTCCACGAATTTTAATAGTGTTTTTTTAATGGAATACATATTTACAAAACCTCTACTGTCCTATGTAGTGCAGGCACTGTCAATCAATTCATCCTCAACATTCACAACAAAAGCAGTAAAACTGTTCTTTAAGCCAGCTCAGTTGATCCTCTCAGTAGTGATGTGGCAGGCATTTAGCCCTCCAATCTTGCATGCCCTGGTGCCCAACATGTGTCCACTCTGCTGCTTAATGTGCATCCCACTGTGCTTCAGAACTCAATTATAGTCTGCAGAACTATGAGCCAGCAACATCAGAGGGCTGTAATGCCAGAAATGCTGACTGTCAATTACATAATTCGGCACTTAGCCCAGGAGCTGCATTAATCATCTTCTAGATTTTAGTTTCTGGTATACTTAATAGGAGCACCCTATAGCAACCTAAAAACATACGAGTAACAACTAAGCTATTGTATGGCCATCTAAACATTTTGGGGACCCCGATATTTAGTAGGTTGACCACCACTGTTCTAATGTAGACACAGAGCAGGTGCTCTAGGAAATTGGAACAGATTGAGCTGAGCTGCTGAGAGGGCTGACTTGAGTGACTTCTGTGCGTCTGCTCTAAAAATGGAGGATGAATCACTTCACAGTTCCTGCAACTAGAGAGTTCAGTGAGGGCTTATATTGAAAATCATTTACTGCTTGCTAAAAAATGTCTAGTGTTTTCTCTATTTGGACTGTTTTGCTACTCTGCCTTTACCTTTCGCATATGTAGCACCCTCCTAGTTAGGAGCAAGGACTTGTATAGTTAAGTTAAGTATAGCTGTGTTTCTCTGCTTGACAGAGAGGCTGCTAGGAAAATCTGCTGTGATCAATTGGTCAGGTCTGCTCATGATGCTCTAGTTCTCTCTGAGTTTGTCTGAGTTCTGCCCACCTTCAGGAAGCTATGATAGCCTTACAAGAACCTGAGAGTGAACTATGCGAATGGGCAGCATGAATATGGATACGGCCCTGGCCAATTGCAGGGGAATGTAGCCCCATTGCATGCTGGGAGTGGTATTTGTGTTCTGTGAGCACATGGGTTCAGTGTCTTTCCCTGGAGAGGATGGCACCAAGCCAGGCTTGCCTTGCCTGGCACTTACCATGCGGGCCTCAGGTTGGCGACCAGAGGGCCTCAAGTTAGAAAGAGAGACCCTGGTTCTACAGTAAACTGACTGAGAGGAGCTGTCTGCCAAAGATCTGTCTGGTATCACTGGAGAGAGTGGCCTGGAAGATTGGAAGGAGGCTGCCATTCTGTCATTGGAGATGTGAGTACAGACACAGAGATCTTTGGGGCTAGGGACTTGTGTGCTGGCTACCTCTCTACTGCTTGATAGTCAGCATTGATCTGAGAAAAAGGGAACACTAGCTAGTGTTCTGAAGGGCTTGTCCAACCCTTGCTACTGCAAAGGACTTTGCTCAGTATTACTTTTGGACTGCCACAGTCTGCCGTAACAGACCTGTACTTGAGGAGCTCAGCCCTGCAACTACTACTACTGATAAAGGGACTTTGCTCACGCCTAAACTACTTGTTGCTACACTTTAAAGAGAAGTCTGCTATCTACTTTCAGCCAGGACTTCAAAAGTGCTCAACTAAGTAATCAGCTAGATGTCCTCAGTGTGAAGAGTTCTAATTTTGGAGTATCCTACTACATTCCCTATCCTTATTCCCAGTTCTAAAATAAAACTCCAAAAACAAACATCCCCTAGACTGGATATTGAAGACAACATGCGGTAATGTGTGGACCTGGCTGTGAAAAAAAATACTTTCTGCCTGGCTGCGGGGCAAAAATACAAAAAAGTATGTGTAGCACCACCCCAGGGGTGGTGCTACACATACTTTGTGTTTTTACATATTTAGGGCACAGCCCTTATCATCTAGAGATGGTCCATCCATCTCTTTGCTCCTGGTTGGAATTCCATTTGCTCCTGCCTGTTTGCCCCACACAAGGGACTTAAATTTAGAAATGTAACACTATTATATCTATTATATTGTCTTCATAAATAAAGTACAGCAACATACAGAACTCCACTGTTAGAAGTAGCTATGTTTTTGACCCTAAAAAGATCATGGAATCTTCAAATATCAATTGCTGCATTTTATTAATAAAGACAATGAAATAGCTATTTTACATTTCAAAATGCAAAACCCCTCTGCAGGTTAGCTTAGCAACAGTATTGTGACCCTCAATGCACTGATAAGGGTATAAACAGTGCACAGGGCATGTTAAAAAAGCTCCAAGATCTGCCTGTCATTTCTGACCCCATGTCTGCTCTCTTGGATGTCTACACTGTGGTATGTTTCTCTTCCTTCTGTACCCTGGATTTCTGCTATGTTCCTATCATCAAGTTCCTTTACGTCAGGAATTATTATGACTTGCTGTTAATAGTATATTTATAGATAGATTATTTGAGAAAATGTATCATCTTTGAAAGTTTTATTTATCTACATACAAATGTTAAATTGATTAGTTATATGTAAATCATTTTACAACTCTAGTTTGTATAACTTTTTTCTAAATACATATGGGGCAGCCATATTTGCTATTTCTATATGCAGGCTTTGCTTTCTGTTTTTTTATAGTGTTAAACAATGAATGTGTTGCACTGCACCTTCTGACAATGGAAGTCTACAAGTTGTCCAATTCAATGAAATCATTGCAGTCCCATTTTGATAAGCTGATGGTATATCTCAACTGTTTTTTATAAGGGGAACAGAATGATTGTAGCTGGACTATTCCCTCCAGAGGCTAATCTACAATCTGATTTATATAGTACAATACCAAAATAAAATACCCATAAAATGACTTTAGTAAATGTATTGTGGGGAGTCCGGACTAAAACTAAAAGGATAGTAAAAGCCATGATCTTCGTACCAAACCAAGAGCTTGTGCAGAGATCTTTATGAAGTCCTGCACAATGTCATCCCATTTACTAAAACATCTGTTGTCAGCAGACCAAAACTTTAATGTGGTATATTTACTTTGAAAAAAAAGATCTTCTGCAAAAAAATAAAAAAATTTCCCACTGAATCCATCTCCATAGAGTGAGGTATATAGTGTAAACAGCCAAACTTTCACTGACTTAGGGCTTGTTCACATGTGCAGCACCTTCTGAAGAGCAATCCCCATTTGATTGCTCTTCAGAGGGCATTTGACGGGTGGTTATTGGGTCCTGTGTCACTTCCTCACTGCCTAATTTAACCCTGCAAATTCCGCACTACCTTGCCACAATTGCATGTATTACACTTGGTTGTGGGGCAGCCCCTTTACTTACATTGATCATGCTCATCAGCGGTAACACCCACCAAATGCAAAATACTGTTTACATTTTTTCTGCACAGCATTGTGAATACACCATGTGTACAGCCCTGAGCAGCTGCATGCCCAGGTTCAGGAGGGTGGGTGGGGGGTGGTAGAACCCTGGCTAAACCGCCTGGTTTTATTACCTAGCTGTAGCAAGCCTTACTGAGAATACCAAATTTTCTGTCTGTTTTCTGTCTATCCACTGACATCAAGCAGAACCTTTGCAGATTTACGTCAATATGCCCTCAAGGCTAAAAAACAAGGACCATAAAAGCTAATATGACTGAGGCATCAGCTGAACAATTGCAGAATCATTAAATAGAACTGTAATTTATCATAAATTAGCATTGATGACTGCATCTCACCTAAGTTTGCTCTTGAGCCCAGTAAGCTCTCTGGTTAGCACATCATTACTTTCAGTTGCCTCATCCAGCTCTCTCTGTAATTTTCTCCGGGAGGCATTGAGACGCTGTGTTTCTTCCTCAGACTCCTCAAGTTGCCGTTTTAGTTGCTTCTGTTTGACAAGTCCCTTTTCAGCCTTTAATATATATGGGGAAACAATTTTGGTTATGGTGAAGTAAGCTGAAAAGAACGAAGGAGTTTTGTACTAGAATTATAATCAAATTTAGCAGTATTGATCTCTCAGAGCCCGACTCAAGCCAAAACCTTTATTTTTGTTTTAGATGGGGTGGATAAGGTTTGGAAATTCTGTTGAATTTGGTGTCCCTTTTGAGGAGATTGTTCTGCCAGATTTTACACATTGTCTCTTTGTGCCCATAGAACAGATTTCTCCTCTTCTGTCAGACACCCACCACTTGTAAAGGAAGTAAACAGAACTGTTATGGGGACCAAAACAAAATGCTGACAGAGGTTCTAGATCTTCCTGCTCTACTAGAAAATGTTCTTTTATTGCTGCCTGTGTTTCTGTTGGGGGGATCTTCACTCACCACCTGTTTTGTCTGACTAAATAGACAAGAACTGAAGTAAAGGCAAAACATTTTTTTTAGTTTTGGGTAGAGTTGATAGGGATTAGAACCCTTATAAGTTTTTATTGCTGTCTGTGCTCCCATGAGGGAGATTCATTCTCTCGATTTGTTTAGTAAGTAAACTAAAATCCCAAATTTTGGTTTAACTTCAGAACAGGAATAGAGAGGAAATCCTCCAATGGAGACACAGATGATGTATATAAAGCTGACAGGGGTTATAACTCTCCCTTACTCCATCCAAAATGAAAAAAAAAAAAGTTTTGCCTTTAGTTACACTTGATGAGATGTTCCATCACTTTTGTTCTGTCACATTGAGAACTCTTGCAAATAAGGACACGGTCAGCAATGAAAGAATGGCATAGGTTCTAACCATAGCAAACTATATCCAAAATGAAAAAAAAAAACATTTTAGCTGTTGTTGGACTATAAAACAGATATTTACATTTTACCACTTTCTTACAGGTTTAAAGCAAAGTTTGTCTTCATTAAAGGATGCTGGGCTACTTTATGTCACTATAGCCAGCTGAGCAGAACCCATTGATTTATATCACAGAAACCAAAAAAATATGCACAGCAAAACAGAACGGTTTAGGGTGTTTTCACTTATAAATGCAAGATAGAACCATGGCTTAAAGAATATTACCGCTTTCACAGTCAAATTTGAGAAAAGGGGACGTTGTTTATGTGTTCCGATTCAAACAGCATACCTAAAAATATCTACTCTGAACAGTTTAAAATGAGAAGAAACTCAGTCTGTCCCCACTGACAAAGAGGGACACACTGAGTTTCTACTCAACAATTCAGACCAGCTTCTAGATCTTTAACCCTGTATTAGGACAGATAGTGTTCAGATTTAGCTAACAACTGATAATGAGATCTGCTATTACAGTACAGACAGGGTTAATTGTGATAAACATTAACTCACCCCCCCCCCCATTCCCCCTTTCTCCACTTCAGTTTTGGAGCTTTTTCCACTTCAGTTTTCAGAACAGGGCAAGTAAAATGTATGCAGCTTTTTTTTTTTTAAGTTTGTGGGGACAATTCACTAAAGGTGAATGCATTATGCAGGTGAGGTGACCACATATCGCATGTGATACTGAAAATGTCAATTCAGGGTTGCTAGTATGTGCTATTTACTGCAAATAGCAAAAACACTTGGTAAATACTGCATACAAAGTTAATTCACAGAAGGAAATAAAAAATTAAATGCATGCGTTAATTAAGTAGCGGTCAAGGCATGCGGTATGTACTGGTTGTTAAGGAGCAAGCTCCCGCCGCGTCCTTAACCAATGCATCATTAGCTATCAGTAGGGTTCCCTGCTGACAGCTGAACATAAAAAAAAAAAATTGCCGGCAATAAAAATTGAGAAAAAAAAGGTGTGCCCCCCCCCATCCATAACAAGCCCTTTGGGTTTGGTATGGATTTTCAGGGAAACTCCAACACCAAAATAAAAAAAATGGTGTTGGTCCCCCCAAAATCCATACCAAACCCTTATCCAAGCATGCAGCCCAACAGGTCAGGAAAGGAGGGGAACAGCTAGCCCCCCCCCCTCCTGAACCATATCAGGCCACATGCCCTCAACATGGGGAGGGTCTCTCCCCAAAGCACCTTGTCTCCATGGGGATGGGGACAAGGGCCTCTTCCCTACAACCCAGGCTGGTGGTTATTGGGATCTGTGAGCAGGGGTCTTATCGGACTTTGGAAGCTTCCTTTAACAAGGGGACCCCGGATCCCGCCCCTGCCATGTGAATGAGTATGGGGTACATACCCCTACTCATTCACCAGAGAAGTGTGGTATAAAAAATCCAGGAAGCAGTTTTTGACAAGTCCTTTATTAAAAAAATAAACATTGTAAAAAAAATTCCCCTGGTATAGATCCATCATCAATCAAGAAGCCCACAGCCACCACTGACCCCAAAGAAAAAAAAAAAAAAAAGCCCCACTCTTGACGAAGGCTCCCACTATCTGACAGCTCTACCACCTGACAGTTCTTAAATAACTAAGGAGCGGGGCCATCCGGTGATGTTGCTGGGTGACCCCGCCCCCTTATGACTTCATCAACTGGGCATGCTGATTTGATGACATCACAAGGAGGCAGGGCATCCGGCGGTATGGCTGGGTGGCTCTGCCCCTTAGGTATTAAAGAACTGTCAGGTGGCAGATCTGTCAAGAGCGAAGCCTTTTTTTTCTGGGTCAGCAGTGGAGACGGGCATTGTAATGAATGATGGATCTACACCGCGGGACATTTTTTAATTTTTGTTTTTTTAAAAAAGGACTTGTCAAAAACTACCTCCTGTTTTTTTTTATACCACACTTTTTTTTGGTGAATGAGTAGGGGTACCATGTAACATGGAGACAAGTTGATTTGGGGGGGGGAACACACGCCTGTCCCCCCCCCCCCCCCCTCATCCTGACCTACCAGGCTGCATGCTCGGATAAGGATTTGGTATAGATTTTGGGGGGTACCTCACAACATTTTTTTTTTACTTTGCCATGGGGGATTCCCTCAAAATCCATACCAAAGGGTTTCTTAATTTTTAACTTCTTTTTTTTTTTCTGCTGTCTGCGAACCCGCTGACAGCTGATGACTCTTTACATTACCACATGTTTTCACTACTAAAATACCGCATGACTAACTCATGCGGTATTTTAGTAATGTTTTATAGTGAATGCCAACATTTTTTTTTAAAACGCTATGCGGTATTTATCACATACTGGGATACGGTAAGATACCATTTTGTGAATTGTCCCCCTTATGTGTGAATAAGAACATGTAATGAATGTAAAGCAGGTGTTATCCCAATTTTGCTAAAAAAAAAAAAAAAAAAAGTGGAAATACACCTTAAAATTAGTAAATGGTTATTTGAGAGGAGAGGAATTTACCTGGTCCTTGTACTGCTCAGCTTGTTTCCTCTCATCTTCAACTTGTAGAAGAGCCTCTTTAAGCTTTTTGTCTTTCTGTTTTAAAGTTTTTGCCTGTGTCTGTTTGTCTCTGCAATTTTCAAAAAAAGTCACTTGGTTAAGTGTGGGTTATAAAAGAATAGATGTAGTACCTGTTAAAGATGGAAATTAAAATAAAGGAATTTTTGGACTTAAGTCCTTTTCTTCAGTATTTCATAGGGTGAGACAGTATATACAACTGCAGGCAGGTAGCATAGCTTCTCCCTTTGGGCTATTCACTTATGCACTACCAACACACTTCAAGAGTAGCCAGCAATCAGAAAAATACCTGGTAACCTTATAGTGATATTAAAGGTTCAGTTTATGATAAAAGAAAAAAAAGAAAATAACAAACATGTCATTACTTACTTGCTCTGTGCAATGGTTTTGCACAGAGCAGTCCTTATCCTCTTCTTCTCTCCTGGCTCCTCCCCCTTGACCAATGCCCCAAATAGCAAGCTGCATTTCTATGGGGGCCCTGGTGCATGCTTGCTCCCAAGTCCCACTCTGCGTTCATTGTTCATAAGACACAGAGCTGTGGCTCGGCCCCACCCTGACTCTCTCCTCATTGGCTCACTGGCTGCGATTGACAGCAGTGTGAGACAATGGCTCCTGCTGCTGTATCTCGGCCAAAGAGGAGAGAGAGACCCAGGACAGCCGAGGTTCCCGTGCACATCGCAGGATCGAGAGGGGAACTCAGGTGAGTATAAGAGAAGATCTGTGGGAGGAGCAGCACACAGAAGGTTTTTTTTTACCAAATGCATGAAGGTAAAAAACCTTTAGCCTTCACAACCACTTTAAGGAACAGTAAATATTTAACTCTAGCAACAGGCGTGAGAACTATGGAAAATGAAACCTGGTTAGAACCTGAGTCCCTTAATAAACTAAAAATAAAAGGACTTGGGGTGAGTGCAAAAATCCCTTTTCTCTCAGTGCTCATTGGCACACCTAGCAGACCACAGAGCCTTCACAAAGCAGTGTAGAACATACCAGAATATTGACTGTTGTGGTGGAATGAACAGGGACAGTAGAGGGTGGAACACTTTCCTCATTCCAATATGTAGATATTGCCAAGTGTGTCAAACCTGTGATAGTCACACCTAATGCTAAAAAGCCTTTACAATGTCCCTCGAGTATGAAAAACTCTTAATCTAAGGGAGAAGAGACATCAGGAAGAATCTGTATTTTGTTGGTAAATCCTGATTGCTCTCACAATGTCTAGGTAGTGAAGAGCAATATTCTTAAAATAAATAGGAGATGGAAAAAAGGTGGAGAGGATCATATCATCATTAAAATTGAAGAAATACACCATCTTGTAAAGAATGAGGGGGTAGGTAGCGGTACTTTGTCCTTGTGAAGCGCCAGGAAGGGCAACACACAAAACAGAGCTGCCAGTCCACTGTGGTAGGAGGAAATGATCTCATCATCAAGGTAATAGTGATCAGAATAATACCTTCTGAGACAGAATTTTAGAAGATACTTAACCCAGTGGTATTAAGGGGTGACTCTGAAGGGCCAATAGAACTGGATTAAGGGCCCGTAGAGCACAAAGATGTGTACATCTGTGGGCATTGTTACAGGATTTACAGAATAGAAACCTGGTCCTTGATGGTGCCTAATGGCAGACATTGATCAAAACCCAATTGCAAAAAGCTGAGGATATGAGCAGTAGAGAATGCCCTAGGGTTTTTCTAAACAGATGTTTGCTTCAAGAGAGAGAAAAAGGATATCTCCTGCAAACAAAATACTTTTAATTGAGGAAGACCTTCTGTGACTGGGGAAGATGAGTGCTGTTTTCCCCATGTGGCATCCTTAATAATGTTATCCAGTGTAGCTTCAAACAGATGTAGACCTGTAAATGGCAGTGCCACCGAAGAGACTTAGTCTAGAGATCAGCACTTAAGCAAAAGAATCCTGCTTAAAACAGTAGTTCCAGAGCTAATTGAAAATATTAGGAGATATGAATCCATTGAGGCATCACATAAGAACTTTCAGAAAATGCGGCACTATGTTAAAAGATATAAGTGGTAATAAATAGACAATACTGTGTTAAATATTCATATATATGCACTGTGGAGCGCTAATGTAATGACAAGTGTAAAATGTCTATGATGGTGACGCTCCAAGTGCACTCAGTGACATATAGTAAATAGGATATCACATCCCGCAAAGTGATGATATAACGTCCAGTATTGAAATAAAGGTGAAAAACGGTGACTCCCGTGATTGTGAATGGGTATATATTGCACTAGCCAGATAGCGCAAACATGTGCGCCTTTGAGTTGTCAGACCACTCCTGGTCATCAGGAACTGGGAAGGCAAAAATAACGTGCTCGTAAGCACAAAACGCGTCAAGGTGGAGCTTAGCCGGTGACGTCACGCCGTTTGGGCCACGTGGAGGCCGGCGGCCATCTTTACTGCTGTTTTTCTTTTGCTGAAAGTGAGTTCTTAATACATGTTTATTTACTAAATAAAGCAAAAATACTGCACTATCAAGATCTTTGCTTGGGCTCGTTTTATTACGAGCCCCCCCTTTCAAGGTGGATCCCTGTTTTGCTGCCTCATACCTACCACTGTGAGGTTTCCATGCTGGATGGCTTAGTATCTATGATACCTGGATCATGACCCCCTGCTGGATGGATGAGTAACACCACTTGGAGAGAGATGACATGCTGATCACCTGTCGTGCTGCTGGTTTTCCAGATGATCTCCTGATTCTTGCCTTCCCAGTTCCTGATGACCAGGAGTGGTCTGACAACTCAAAGGCGCACATGTTTGCGCTATATGGTTCGTGCAATATATACCCATTCACAATCACGGGAGTCACTGTTTTTCACCTTTATTTCAATACTGGACGTTATATCATCACTTTGCGGAATGTGATATCCTATTTACTATATGTCACTGAGTGCATTTTGAACGTCACCATCATAGACGTTGTACACTTGTCATTACATTAGCGCTCCACAGTGCATATATATGAATATTTGACACAGTATAGTCTATTTATTACCACTTATATCTTTAAATATAGCGCTGCATTTTCTGACAGTTTTTGTTTCAAAGGTTGAGAGGTTATACCTTTATGCTAGCTGCTCATACCATTATTATCCTAGTGCTCGTATACCCCCTTTTTTCTATTATAATCACATAAGAATTTGGTGGCTTGCACCAGGATTCTTAATTAGTAGGCTGAGCCTTCAGTACCTAGGTTTTGATGCAAGACAATGTCAGCACCTGTGGTAGTGAGCCCTTGTAGATAGTCAACTTGGGGTTCCCCAGGGTGTGGAGTCTAAGCCCCAGCCTTCTTCTTCACCAGAGCCCCTGATGGTGGGAAGCTGGGACCAGGTCGCGACCCCCGGGTACGCCCAGCTGAGGATGAGGAGACCGCTCGCAGGAGCAGAGTACAATGGGAGGAGACAAACAGAAATCAGATAGACTAGCCGAGGTCAGGATGGGTGAAAAACAAGCACAGTCAGAGAAGGAAGACCGGGTCAGTACACAAGTAGCCAGTGCAGGATACAGGCGATAGCAACACACAGGAGCTCAGACAACTAGGAAGTTGCTCGGGCAAAGTGGCTGAGCATGTCTTATATAGGCAAACAAGGCGGTGGGCCAGGAAGTGATGGAAGGGAAAAATAAAACCCAGAGAACAGCAGACGATGCCCATAGGTGAGCACAGACACATGTGAAAGGGATCATCAACAGCACTGCAGCAAGGATGTAAGAATACACAAACAAGAAACTGCAGGCTAACTTGTGACAGACAATATCCCATTTGACAGGGGCTTTGAACAAGCAAACTTTGGTCTTAGTTAACTGGAGGCAGATCTTAGTAGAAATGCTACAATTAGTTGTGGACAACTCTTGAAACCAGGTGACTAGAGAAAGGGACATATTACACCTGGAAACGCGTTGCCTGTCCCTCTTGAGTCCCACACACTACAGGAGACCTGCCAGCTCTTCCTTTTTGAAGTGATTCCTGCCATCATCCTGTTACAGCTGCTCTGGTTCCTGCTGTCCCCTCCTGCCAGCTGGATGTCATCCTCCAGTCCATGCTGAGCTATACAGCACAGGTAGTGTGTGCATCCTGGACCCTCTTTATATTACACTGCTTCCCTGTGAGCTGATATGCTACTTCATTACCAGGCTGGATTTCATCTCATCCCTTGTTATGTAGTATGTTGTACTGACATTGCCCTGAGCTCTGCTGTTTGTTCTCTCTTTGTTCTGAGGTTGGTCTGCTCTGACAGCTGTGCAGATTCTTCATCCGGTGTATAGTTGATCTCTCAGCAGCACCATCTTTCCTCTCCATCCAATCCCATACCTGGACCAAGATCTCCATCAAATTGGACTATTTTTGCCTCCTTGGAGCTCACAAGTTTTTGGACTCTTAGCCATATCTCATCAGTACACAGGCTAGCGCTACATCTTATTATAACATAATGGGTAAAGATTAGGCAACCCCTAGAAAACAGACTAGTGCTCAAAGCTTCCTCCCAGCATAGTTGGAGTAGAAAAGATGTCAGGAGAAGAGATTGATACCTATGTTGCACTAAATCAGGTGGCCATGGCTTTCTCCAAGACTTGAGAGATTGGTGTAACACTGCCAGCAGCATAACTGAAAATAATTTGTCTTTATTTTTGAACCAACAGTAAACTGTGGCATAGCATCTTACCTCCTTAGGACACAAAACTAATCTGGGGCATGCTTGGCTGTGCATGAGAGTATAACCCACAGGGAGGAGCTATACCTTGTGCCTACTTGGTGACCACCTCAAGAAGCAGGGGCGCATACCCAGTGGTCTGGTGTGTTCCCCATTATACACTTAGAATATAACAGATTTATCTTTAATCAGGTTTGTTACTGCCTGAATTTCAAATGACCACACAATAACACTTAAAGCCTTGCTCCAGGCATTTTTTTACTTTTAGTTTTTGATACAATAGGGAAAAGTTAGCCTGTCAGGTCTTTATTTCTGAATCTGTTGGAGAAATGTTTCCTTTTCTTCCTGTACCCATGACACCCATACAAGAAATGAGGGGAGCTGTTGTCACCGGAACAGGAAGAACACAGGTGGCAATACCAGCAATGTCAGATGTTCCTTCACTCTATTAAAAAGGTGTTTGTTTTTTTCTGTGCCTTTGTTAAAGCGTGTTCCTATTACTTCCCAAAAGGGACAGAGATGGCAAAAATAACTGCCAGAATCTCTAACCTTTCTCCTGGTAAAAATCTAAAATAAAAAGTATAGGCTGGAGATGAACTTTAAGTATATACTGTATGTAATAATTTGCATCTTCCTGGGTTTAGTGATGTTTTCATTTTTAGTACAGATTAAGTTAAAATTAGAAGCATAGATAAAGATATGAAGAACTAGTGGGGAAAAAGCCATGTTCAAGTGCAGTAACCCTTTGCAATCATTGAAAAATAATATTTTAGTAGTATGAATATAAGCTGAAATCTGATGAGTTATAGAAGATGACTGAAAAAGTGAAAGTAATCATATTAAAATCTGGCAGGCTACTTATATTTCATATATCAAAGGACAATATGGTTTCCTTCCAAAGGAACTAGCATGGGAAATCCTTAAAAAAAAAAAATGAATGCAGTCAACACATGTGTAAATTGATGTGCTATTGGTTGCAATGGTTTAATGCATCTCATAGCTCTAAGTTTGCACTGCATGTTAGGCTTGCCTCTAGAAATCTCATTTATCAATATTACACAAAGCATTATTTATTAGATATGGATGAATAATTTCTAAATGACTATTTGGTACATTCAACATTGCCCACCTGGCTTCCTGTTCTAATTGTTCTTCAAGTTGAGCAATCTTGGCTTCCAAAGCAGTAATGCTAGACTTGAATTTTGACTTGACAGAGCCTTCCATTTCCTGTAGTTTGCTCTTGAGTTCTTTGTTTTGTCTTTCAAGCTGCTGTCGTGCGCTCTCATTCTTCTGTGATGTGCTGCGTTCAGCTGCCAATTCATTTGTGAGTTGTTCCGCCTGGAAACAGAAATGGACACTCCTTACTGCTCTGTCTCTTGCAATCATTCACATAATGTACAGCAAGAAGTCAGTCATTATTATTACACCCACCTGCTGCACTGCTTTCCTCATTCTGTCACCCATTCCCTCCATGTTGCCCTGTTCCTCTTCCAACTCCTCCTCCAGCTGAGAAATTCTGGCTTCCAGACGGCGCTTGTCATCCTGGAGGGATGATCTGTTAATTAAATGAATAAGGTTATAAGTGACTATACAGTGCTTGCTTAAAACTGTCACAGCGAGAGAGGATATGAGTTGTACAGCTATAGCTGGAATGAAGAAAATCTAAGAACTCTGCATATTTTTTTTTTTCTGTATACTTAGACAAATTATAATTGTTCTGCCTATGCAGCATTGCCAGAAGTGAGAGTAAGGCTCCCAAATGGAGTTACAGACAGCAATAAAAACAGTCTTGAGCTGTGATGTAGCTTTAAGAAAGTTTTATCTATAAATCATCAAAACACTTCAACTTTTTGCATCCTACGTACTTTCCAGATGCACTTCCTGCAAGTTCTTCTGCCAGTTCCTCTTTCTCCAGCTCTGCTTGTTTTCTTGCTCTCTCTGCAGCAGCCAAATCCTACCAGAATAAAATGTCATTAGTAGGATTCTAGGACTAGATAGAGTGGTTTCTGATCTAGTTGTCCCATTTCTTTAAAGGCTAAGTTTACCTTTGAGAATATGTAACATGTTCCCAATCCTGAAGCTGCTGCCGGGTCGACACCCTCCCTGTGACAGCAGTACGGGGAGAAGTTCCCTGTACAAGCTGTCACTTTTTAAAAACAGGCTCTGCCCACACAGCTGCATCATTCATTCAGGGTTCTGTGAATGTATGAACTACAAGTACCGACATCTTTTGCGGATGTTGGCTTGTGGTTATCAATTATCTACCATTGCGCTGTGGAGCGCCATGGTAGTATATTGATTCTTCCTATCAGTGTATCTGCTTGCCTGTACAGGATGTACGAACAAGTAGATACACTGACAGGTACGGTACCATGCAAACTGCTGATAGCTGGTGCAATGCTTTATAGGCTCCTGCAGCAAAAAATAATAATTGCACATTTTTTCCCCGCAAAAAAATGTGCATTTATTATTTTTTGTCAAAAGTGAACTTATCCTTTAACAGCACAGTCATCTGTGAGCAGCCAAGTTAGTTATAAATTTTACCTCTTGTAGTTGGATAAGTTCAGCTTCTAAACTCTTGGCTTTCTTCTCATTCTCTCTTGCAGTAGCAAATATTTCCTCCCTGGCTCCACGGGCATCATCAAGGTCTCTTTGGAAGTCCTTCATTTGAGCCTGAAATTATATTTTGTTCAAAATGTATATTACATTTTTGAGCTTATTAACATTTTTGTCTCATCAAAATGGCATCTTACATCTTTATGTTAAATTACATGAAATACAATGAGAACATTTGTTTGACATTGGATATAAAAGATTAAAAAATAATCACATGGTCATTATTTTGCTTATCATTATTTATTTATTTATTTTACCTGCAACTTCCTCAGTTGTTTGATAGCTTCATCCCGACCTTTATTGGCAAAGTCTACTTGTCCTTCTAGATCCTTAAGGTCAACGTCTAACTTCTTCTTTGCTGCAGCTGCCAAAGTTCTCTGTTTCCTCTCATCTTCCAGTTCTGTTTCCAACTCATGTACCTTGAAAAAAAAGGGTTCAGTTCCCAGAAACCGTGGCCTTTTTTTTGTATCTTGACTTCTGCTTTTCCATGTTATTTATATTGTTAACTATATTTCAGTTACCTGTTTAACCAGCTGCCTCCTTTTCTCTTCATTCTGCTCATCTCTGCCTTGTAAGTCTCTTTCAAACTGTGCTTTCAGAGCTTGCATGTTGACTTCCAGTCTAAGTTTGGCATCTTCTGCTGCCTGAAGCTCATCTTCCAGCTCTTCCAACTGTGTCTTCATCTCTTCAACCTGTTGCTCAAGGCCTCGTTTGGACTTCTCCAAATCATGAACCTTTGTATAAAAAAAAAAAATTCAGCTAGACATGGCTAAAAATTAAGGTAAAATCTAGAAAATATGATTAGAGATTCCATCCGTTTCTCAGCTATTTAATATACAAATATTACATTCTGACCAAACCAATATTACCTGATGTTTAAATAAAGTATGGCTCTATGTGTCCATCATTTACTAACCAAAGTTTCCACTTAAAAAACATTACTTACATTCTTTCCAACATCATCTTTGGAGCTGACCAAGTCCTCCATTTCTGCCTTCAACATTTTGTTCACCCTCTCAAGTTCTTCCTTTGTTTGTAAGGCTTCATCAAGAGCTCTGGCAAGTGATAGTGCTTTGGTTTCCTTCTCTCTAGCCTCAGCTTCAGCTCTGTCTCTCTCATCAGCATACTTTGAAGAAATATTTTTCTCCTCTGCTAGCATCTGAAAATGAATAGAAGTTAGCCAACAGTCTTGGAAAAAAAAAAAAAGCTTACCTATGTTTTGAATTACAAGTAGTATGATATACCTGGTCAAACTTCTTCTGTTTCTTCTCCAGGTTGGACACAAGTTGACGTTGATTGTCCAAGTCAACTACTAAGTCATCAAGCTCCTGCTGCTGTAGGCGGTTCTTGGTCTTTTCCAGTTTGTCATAAGCAGCAGCTTTTTCCTCAAACTGTTGTGTCACGGCCTCAATATCTCTCTGGAATTTCTTCTTACCTTCTTCCATAGATTCTATTGTAGCAGTAAATTCTTGCAATTTCCTCTTGGAATCTGAAAGCTGAAACAGAACAGTAATTAACATATTATAAACTACCCTGTTGCTTTAATCTGCTATTACATTTTAACAAGCAATGGTGTCTGACTGAAGTAGTTTGTTAATAACAATATAGGTATTTTGTATAGACAAATTAATGTGCACTCTTACATGTTTTTGTGCAAAACAGACACAGTTAACAACTCTGTATCTGGACTTACTTAATTGTACTTATGGTACCTATTTGATGAGCAGCCATACAGCTCATCTGTTACCATAGTATGGAGCACTAGTCAATTAATCTAATTGTTCCTAATCCTGTTAACTGGCATGAACTGGTAATTAGGCAGTTTCGACAGATGCCAATAGGACTGTAACATCTAAGAGCACATTTGGGTGTTTGACAAGTATGCCAGGGCTACTTTGTATGCTCATCCTGACATTCTAACTTCATATCTCACTTCTAAATCATTTCGCTTCAATGAACACTGGACTATCTTATTGTTGCACATATATAATGAGCACATCAGTAAAATATGCTGAGTAGTCATTCTAACTCCTAAATATATTACTCTATCTTTCAGGTAAGTATAATGGTATTATATTTAAATATAAATTAAATTTTTGGCACTTTTTCTTGACATTTATATATACGTTACTGCATTTCTAAAGATTTTAAAGGCTATACTTAATTTTTTTTGTAAGACTGGCATTTGTGAGCCCCAGTGGTCGCATTGCACCCCTCTTTTTCCCTCCTGGGTGGAGTTGGGGGGATGTCTATGTCTCCTGTGGTCGATGGGCAGGATGGAAATAATCGTACATGTTTTTAACTTTTAGGTCTTTATTTTTCAATAACTGCTTAATTGTAAGTAACAGACATAAATATTGTTCAAGTCTGTACATACACATATATATATATATATATATATATATATATATATATATATAATGTATATGTGTGTGTACAGACATGTATTTTCTGCATATACTTGCTTAACAATGTCTACTCTACTTTACAGATGTGATATTCTTCAAACCCCTGAGGAAAGAGTGGCATTCAAGTGAATGGAGACACATCACAAGCTCACAACATTTGACAGTTTCTTGTAAACAGTGCAATATTTTGTGTTGAAAGCCATAATTTTGGTTTTATATAATGTATTTAGTACAATAATAAAATGTAAAAATTGTTTCACAATTTTATGTGGTAATGGTGCTTTTAAACTCCCATTGGGGAAATTGTGTTTGGGTAGTTATACTTTGGGGATGTAGCACCCATGAGAGTACACCCACTGGTATTAAATTCAGCACTTTGAACAGATGTAGAGAAAACTGCAAATAGAAAGATAAAACTTATGTAGAAGGATTTGTTTCACCTGAGTATCACCTGAGGCCAGTGACTTCACTGGGTATACGACCACTTTAAGGTGCTGTGTATATACCAATAAATTATCTGTAGCACTACTCTAGACTATGGCAGTACCTGAACATTTAGAGTTGAGATGTGACGTTCCAGGTTCTGTTTGGCCTCTGTTTCTTCATCTAGTTGTTCCTGAAGAGTGTTTTTCTCATCTTCTACTTGACGAAGCTTGGTGGCAACATTCAGCTTTTGCCGGGTCTCTTCTTGCAGTAACTCCTACAAAGTGAAGGCCATTAAATAATTCAGTAACTTTCCCTCAGAGACCAAAACTCCAATCATGAAGGCCTTTATCTATTGCTATATATATGTAAATTAACATATATGCTTAAAATGTAATAACTTGCCTGTGAATCCTGGAGCTGGGATTGTAAACTGGCAACATCTTTGGAAAGCTTAATGGACTTGGTCTCTGCTTCACTAAGTAGAACTGTGACATTCTCCAGTTCTACCTGCAAATGTGAGAAAACATATTTAGTAAAACATTATCTTCAATTTAATTGTGCTACTGAAATTATGATATATAGTACCTGTACTCGATTGGATTTTTCTGTCAGCTCATTTCTGGCCCGTTCTCCGTCAGTGTATTTAGACTGTAGCTCCTGCAACTGGACTTCGAGCTTCTTCTTCTTGTGCTCTACATCTTGTTTGGCCTGGTTCAGTGTTCTAATCTCAATTGTAAGCTCAGAATTGTCTTTCTCCAAACCTTGCTTGCTCTTTTCCAAGTTAACTTTAACCTATGGACAAAAAAAGACATTGGAGATTTACTAAAACTGGACCGTGGAAAATCTGGTGCAGCTCTGCGCAGAACTGTTCAGCTTCCAGGTTTTATTGTCAAATCTTAATTGAATAAGCTGAAGTTAGCAGCTGTTTGGCTACCATGATCAGCTGCACCAGATTCTGAGTGCTCCAGTTTTTGGTAAATTTCCCCTATTATAAACAAGGAAGTTATATGCCAATAAATTTGATCTTTGCATGCTAATAAAGACATCATACCCGTTTCACTTGTTCCAGTTGTTCTGTAAGCTCTTCAACAGCTTGAGTATGTTTTTGCCTCATTTCCTGAACCTGGGCTTCATGTGATCTTGTTTCCTCTTCCAATGCTCTCTTCAGAACAGTAACTTCCTGTTCTCTCTTTGCTCTGTAGTGGGTTTTACAAATTATTCACAGTGTAAATGCACAAAACATTATAACCCATTACAACAATCTTCAGTTCTCAGCAGTCTACTGTTGACAGGTTATTTAAAGCAGATTTCTGTATGGTTGTTATACATTAACCACTTCACTCTGCCCTATAGCAGGATTACTGCTATAGGGCAGAGTCTCTGCACAAAATCATGTATATATACGCAATTCGTGCTCCCGATGTGATTGCGGTGATTTGGTGCCCAACCGATCAATCAGATTCAGGCCAGTAATGTTCGGCCTGGATCTGCTTATTGATCCCTGCCCTATCACAGATCTTCATGTACCTGTGTTTACATTTACACAGTTACAGGAATTCATGCAATCTTATCTCCCTGGGCACATTCCATTCCAGAGAGAGAAGAATGCAGATCTATGTGGGTAAAAACAGCACACTTTTTTTACAGTAAAAGCACAGCTAGGTCCCAGTTAACCCCTTCACTGCCCTGTCACCAGTGTCATTAGTACAGTGTACGGATTTTTTTTACTGATCACTGTATTAGTGTCATCGGCAACTTCAGATAGCATTAGCATCAGTTAGCGTCCCTCCCAGATAGCGTCAGATTTCCAGCCACTACATCAGTCATCACATTTAACCCTCTGATTGCCAGGAACATGCTCACATACACAATATACCTCCATTGCTAGTATAGTATCTGAACAGATCAATATCTTTAATCAGATCAGAACTATACCAGCATTCACAAAAGTAGTGTCCCCAAAACCGGAGTGTTAGCAGGATCAGCCCTGACACCAGCACCTGTGATTAGCCCCTACGCTTAACCCCCTCCTTCTCCCCCAGCAAGTGCAGTGTCAGTAGATCACTGTCACTTGATACATTGCACACAAACCCGCAGTGTTAGCAGAATCAGGCCTGATATCTGCTAGTACTTCCAGATACATTTTTTGTAGTGGTTCAAGCAGTCACTGACTGCCAGGTGCCTTTTTTTCAGTGAGTCGCACTAGGTATCAATAATGTAGTGGCCAAAATATCCAACGAAAGGTGAAGAGGTCTACAGGATTCTGAGCATGTCAGATGAGAGTGAAGGGGAAGACTCACTGACAGAATCTGCCTCAGAATAAGAACCTGTACACAGCAGCGGCACCCTAACAGATAGCTCGGACGATGGAGTAGAGGTCCCTGTTAAGGTCAAACATACCTGAGGTTCCCAGGTTGCAGAGGTGGTACAATTGCATGATGATTCTCATATGCAGCAGAGTGCCAGTACTAGTGCCGCTCTACCTTTTGGTGAACTGGTGAGCACCAGCGGCCTAGTACATCCTGGTCTTTCACATACCAGCACTGCAGTATCACTTGGTGATGTGGCGAGTCCTATAAGTGCAGTACACCCTGGTGCGATGGCAAGCACAAGTATTGTCCTGCAACTACCAAGAATTTGCACACAAGCCTGTAGAGCCTCTAGTGTCCTTCCGGATGGACGGTTTCCGAATTTAACATTTTTTTTAGGCCTAACCCTTAACATGGGCATTACTAAAAGAAAAAGAAAAAAACAGAAATTTGCAGATGTCTATACTCCCCAACAAAACAGGGTTGATGAGTCTCTCATTAGTTTTTCTGGCCGCCTTGCATTCAAACAATTTCTCCCCAGCAAGCATGCTAGATATGGGGTCAAAATGTATATGACCTGTGAGAGGATAACAGGCTATACATGCAAGTTTCGGATTTACGAGGGAAAAGATGGTCACTTGGAGCCCCCTGGAAGCCTAGACTACATGGGGAGCAGCGACAAGATAATTTGGGACTTGGTGTCACCCTTTCTCCATATTGGGTACTTATACGTGTACAATTTTTATTCAAGCGTGCCACCATTTAGACATTTGTACAATCTTGGAATTCATGCATGTAGCACTGTGCGACCTAATCACTGAGGCTTTCCCCAATGGCTTGTTAAGACTCATCTTAGAAAGGAGGAAAAAGCCTTCTTGAAAAATGATAAATTGCTCGCAGTGAAGTGGAAGGTCAAGTAGGTTTTTTTAACCTGTCTTCCATTCACACAGACACGACCATCCAAATTTCCACGGCAGCTGGAGTTGTTGAGAAGCCCCTCTGTGTCCACAACTATAACCTTATAATGGAAGGGGGGGGGACTTCAGCGACCAGATGATGAAGCCGTACTTAGTTTTCCAAAAAGCCAGACACTGGTACCAAAAAAAAATTCTGTTTATTTATTTCAATTGGCTGTATATAATGCTTTTGTGCTTTACAAAGCAACTGGATGTAGTGGATCCTTCCTAAAATTCCAGGAAGAGAGATCATCATGGCCCTTTTGTATGCAGAAGGTGCTGTGGCCCAAACCCCCAACCCAGATGCAGTTAGCCGGCTGCATGAGAGGCATTTTACTAATGCCATTCCTGGTACCCCAACCCAGAGGACACCTCAAAAAAAATTTTGTGTCTGTAGCAGACACTTGCTTTTTTTGTCCCTCCTGTCCTGGCCAACCTGGTCTCTGCCTCAAGGACTGCTTCCGTCGCTACCATACATTAGTAGAGTATTAGTACAGGGTACACCATGGCACAGTTCAGGGCATATATTTACACAGGGTCTCAAAAGATGTTAGGTAGTCAGGAAACTGGCTATCGTATTTTGAGAGACCCTAAAGTCTGGAAGTTCAAAAAAGTAAAAAAAAATAATAAAAGAGTACAATAAAACATAAAAAATAAAAAAGTTAAAAAAAATAATTAAAACTTAAAAAAACCAAAAATGTATTTCAGGTACTTATATAGCGCAGTCAATTTATGCAATGCTTTTACATATATACTGTACATTCACATCAGTCCCTAGCCCTCAAGGGGCATAAAATCTAAGGTCCCTAACTTACACTCCTACATACACATACTAAGGCCAATTTAAACAGGGTCCAATTAACCTACCCACACAGGCACAGGGAAAACATGCAAACTCCAGGCAGGTGATGTGATGCCCTGGCTGGGATACGAACCAACGACCTTAGTACTGTCAGGCAGAAGTGCTAACCATTTAACCATAGTTGTTTTATTATTGTCAAGTTACTGTTTTACTTTAACGGTTTTACTGTTACTTGCTCTCCGAATATACATAAGTGTGTGCAGCGCTGTTAAATGAGATTTTCATCCGCAGTTAAAAACAAGAGCATATATACCCAAGCATGGGGGCCTGGGGTGGCCAGTGGGTGGATGGCCCTTCTGCTTCGGCATATATTTCTAAATAATGTTTTTGGCAGAGATTTCTTCATCCACATCGATGGATGTGAATAGAGGAATCTGTTAGGTGGAGGTCAGGTTCTTTTCATGTGTGCCCACCATTAGAAGTGGGTGGATGCAGAGTGGTATATTCTAATGGTGGGCATACCACACACTTTTTCTGGAAGAGATTTCCTCTTTTTTCATTCAATCCACAGGCTGCATAAAAAAAACAAATATAACACTATATATATAAATATATATATATATATATATATATATATATATATATATACACCCCATATATATACCTAACAAGGGCCAGCAACATACTGGTAATCGGCTTTCATGCAAAAGCAAACCTAGTGGCTAATTAGCTGCAGGATTACTTTTACAAGCAGTGGGAGAAGATGACAACCCCCCCCCCCCCCCGCTGCCTTCCATGGCTCTCTTGGGAGAACCTGATTAATCACTCTTAATACCTTGTCATCTGGTCCTCGTCTCTTCTCTACTTTTAACTCTCTACTTTCTCCACCTCCACCCAGTACCTCACTCACTGCTCATGAGATTGCAAATCATTTAAAAAACAAGCTTGCCTCTTTTGACCTTGCTACTACCGAAGAGGTCACTAAGGTTTTCTCAGAAGCCCGTCTCACTACCTGCCCCCTGGATCCTGTCCCCTCACAACTACTACGGTCACCCCTCTCCTTCTATGCTCCCTCACTCACATCTTCAATCTTTCCCTCTCTACTGGTGCCTTCTCCCCCCCTCTAAAGGTTGCGCACATCACTCCCATACTTAAAAAGCCCTCCCTGGACCCCACCAACATGAACAACTTAAGACCCATCTCCCTGCTGCTATTTACCTCTAAACTCCTAGAATGCTTAGTCTACAATCGCCTGAGCTCTCACCTCACCGACAACAACCTCCTTGACCCTTTACAGTCTGGCTTTTGCTCTCTACACTCCACTGAAACTGCCCTACTAAAACTCACTAATGATCTACTAACTGGTAAAACCAATGGCCACTACTCTGTACTCTTACTACTTGACCTCCTCTGCGGCTTTTGATACGGTTGACCATCCCCTCCTCCTCAAAAAACTCCACTCTTGGCCTCAGAGACTCTGCTCTCTCCTGGTTCTCCTCCTACCTATCGCAGAGCTCCTTCAGTGTTACCTATAATGCTGCCTCCTCCTCTTCACTCCCTCTTTCTGTAGGGGTCCCTCAAGGTTCTGTCCTTGGACCCCTTCTCTTCTCCATCTACACCTCCTCCCTTGATAAACTCCCACGGCTTTAAGTACCATCTCTATGCTGATGACACTCAAATCTATCTTTCTACCCCTCACCTCACCCCTTCAGTCTCCACTCGCATTACTAACCTACTAAGTGACATATCGGCATGGATGTCACTGCACTTCCTCAAACTCAGTCTTTCCAAAACTGAGCTCTTAGTATTCCCTCCAGCCCGTGCCCCCTCCCCTGACTTCTCCATCAAGATCAATAACACAATCATCAGTCTCTCCCCTCATGCCAGGGTACTAGGTGTAATCCTAGACTCCCATCTGTCCTTTCAGCCCCAAATCCAATCACTGTCCAAATCGTGTAGACTTCACCTCCACAACATCTCCAAGATACGACCGTTCCTAACCTCGGAAACCACTATGCAACTTATTCACTCACTTGTTATATCTCGCCTTGACTATTATAACTCCCTCCTCATTGGCCTACCTTATCGCGGGCTATCCCCTCTTCAGTCTATCATGAATGTTGCTGCCA